CCGCCTCTTGGGTTCAGGCAATTCTGCCTCAGCCTCCTGAGTAGCTGGGATTACAGGCATGCGCCACCATGCCCAGCTAATTTTTTGTAGTTTTAGTAGAGACAGGGTTTCATCCTGTCGACCAGGATGGTCTCGATCTCTTGACCTCGTGGTCCACCCGCCTTGGCCTCCCAAAGTGCTGGGATTACAGGCGTGAGCATCTTTATTTTTTAGAAGTGTAATTATCTCTGTGCTTTAAAACTATCTTCTTAAAAACGTATTAATTTTTTTCCCCCATAGCTCCCAAGCCTGAACTGATAGCTACAGAGAAGAAGTATTCTTCTTTAAAGCCTGAAGAAAAGGGTGAGGCTAATTTTCAACTTTCAGAAAAAAGCAATTCCTTCTTTTATTGTCGTTTTAACTGTTTTTCCACACTGAGTTATTTACACTGATTTTTAGCAGGTATTCAGTGTTTATTTTAGAATGTTTGAAGTTTTCTGGGAGGGAGTAGTTCATTTAAGATTGACATAAAATTATGCTTTCTCAAACTGATAACAATTTACATTCATTAAAAACATTAAACTATTACTTCAGCAGGATGTTGTCTTTATTCGTAGTTATTTCACAGACTGTTTATGAAAACTAAGCATTAAAAAAACTATGCTTTTATTATTTTTATAGTGTTTCAGTCTTTAGAAAATTGCTTAGAAGGTTGAAGACCCAGTTCCTACTTAAGCATGGAAGTAATTAATTACATATTATTTAATCTCACTGCATGCATTTGTCATAATGTAAACCTGGAAAGTTATTCCAAGGTACCATATGTATTTTGCTAAAAACCTTGCTTATATTGGTTTGTTGTGAATTTGGAGAAAATAAGTCCTTCTCATGGTCCATGAAGATACACAATGGTTGTCACTAGTAGATTAGTTTGTATACATCAAGAAACTTCAATACTATTTTAGAATGCTTTTGTTTCTTCTGCTAGTGTTGTACTTTAACCCATCCTTGTTTCTTGCCTAAAGTACTGTATCCTGTTAATTGATTTCTCTCACTTTAACTCCTTGTCTGGCTCATACTTCATGTGTTGCCAGGATTGTTTTTTTAAAGAGACTGTTTTTTAGAGCAGTTTTAGGTTGACAGCAAAGCTGAGTCAAAAGTACAGAGTTCCTATATAGTTCCTTTCATCACACGGGCACGGTTTTTCCCACTGTTAACATTCCGTACCACAGTGGTATATTTGTGAGAATTAATGAGCCTGCCTACGTTGACACTTCATCACTCAGAGTCCATAGTTTACTTTAAAGTTCACTCCTAGTGTTGTACTTATTATGGATTTTGACAAATTTATAATGTCACATATCTACCATTGTAATATCATACAGCCTAGCATTACTGCCCTAAAAACCTTCTTTGCTCTACCTGTTCATCTGTCCTTCCCTTCAGCCCTTGGCAATCATTAATTTTTTTAATGACTCTGTACAGTTTTGCCTTTTCTGGAGTGTCATATAGTTGGACTCATACAGCGTGTAGCCTTTTCAAATTAGCCTCTTTCACTTAATTATATCCCTTTAAAATTTCTCTGTATGTTTTCATGGCTTGGGAGGCATTTGTTGTTAGCACTAAGTAATATTTCATTGTCTTTATATTCCACAATTTATTAATCCATGCATTTACTGAGGGACATCTTGATTGCTTTAAGTTTTGGCAATTATAAGGGGAACTGCCATAAATGTGTGTAGGTTTTTGGGTGGACGTATTTTCAGTTCATTTGGGTAAATACCAAGGAGAGGGATTACCTGATAATATGACAAAAGTATATTGAGTTTTGTAAGCAACTGCCAGACTTCTTTCAATTTGGCTGTACCATTTTGTACTCCCACCAGTAATCAATTAGAATTTCTATTCTACATTCTAGCCAGCATTTGGTGTTTTCAGTGTTTTGGATTTTGGCCTTTCTAATAGGTATCTAGTGATATTTTACTTTTGTTTTCAATTGCAGTTCCATGATGACATATGGTGTTAGATATCTTCGCATGTACTTAATTGTTATTTGGATATCTTTGGTAAAGTGTTCTAGTCTTTTGTGTATTTTTAATGAGGTTTTTTTTTTTTCCTTCAGCTTCTTTTTTTGTATATTTTGGACAGAAGTCTTTTATTAGATGTTTTTGCAAATATTTTCGCCTAGTCTGTGGCTTGTTTTCTTCACAGAGCAGAGGTTTTAAATTTTATTGAAGTTTATCAGTTATTTCTCTTATGGATCATGGCTTTGGTTTTAAATCTAAAAAGTCATTGCCATACCCAAGGCCATCTGGATTTTCTTCTGTGTAATCTTCAAGGAATTTTATAGTTTTGTGTTTTACATTTAGGTTTGTGATTCGTTTTGAATTAATTTTTGTGAAGGTTGTAAGGTTATTGTCTAGATTCTTTTTTTTTTTTTTTGGCATATGAATGCTAGTTGATCCAACACCATTTGTTGAAAAGACTTTCAGTTTTCAGATAAAAATCAAAAGTTCAAATTCAAGGTCCTCCAGTAACTGACCCCCACATTACATTTTTGATAACATCTTCCATGCGGATAACCCCCCATATAGGCATCGAGGAAGGAGAGCTAAGCAGAATCCTGGCACAATTAAGATCTGAAGAATATCTCAGTTTATAGTATTACTACTCAGTTACTTCCTTCTATGTAATCCTTTATATAATCATATATTAGTTTATAGAACTAGAGCTTGAAGATTATCTCAGTTAATAGTGTTACTACTGTGTTATTTCCCATTATATAATCCTCTACATATAATCATGTATTAGTTCATAGAATGAGTGCCTAAAGAATATCTTACCACTCACTTATTTCCATATATATATATATATATATATATATATATATATATAACTATATCTTAGTTCATAATCAGAGGAATGCCTGGAGTAGAGTAGACATGGTACAGAGCATGAGTTAAGGAATAAGCAGCTTAGAGTTGGAGGAATGTCTGGAGCAGACACAGTATGAGCATGGTTTAAGGGAAAACAGTTACACCAGGATAAGAATCCATGGCCCAGGTGGCAGCGTTCAGTATCATAAAGATACCCGCTGTATGGCAGGCTTGGGGCAACAGCCACTCCTGATAAAGGAGTTGTGGGACCTTGCTCCAGTTCTTGTGGAGGGCTGCCCTCAGACCAGCAATCCCTCGAGCATCTGAGGGCTCAAAAATCCCTCCAGATAATTGCACCTTGGTGACTGTGAACTTTATCAGTTCTTGTTACTGTGCTGCTCAAAAAGCATCTTCCTATAGAACTCGTTGGAAGCTGCCAGCAGGTGCCGGTAACCCTGACAGCTCTGTCACTGCTGTGTGACTTATAGCATCCTCCTGTAAATCTTCTTAGAAGTAGCTTGCCCGTAGATAGAGGTATTGCACACTGCACCCTCTTCACTGTGCACTGCCCACCTCCATGCCTCGTTGACCTAATGAGGGTGGACCCCATACTGCACACAGCCCATTTCCTTGCCTGGATGACCTAATGGGAATGGACCCCTTGCTGTGCACTGTCCACCTCCTAGCCTAGGTGACCTAATGGGGATGGACCCCTTGTTGTATTGCTCACGACCCTATCACTATCCTTAAAGATGACTTCACTCACTGCCCTGCTCCCTAACCTATACACAATAAATACTGATGCCTCTGGACATTCGGGGCCTTGCCTGACTCTGCTTATAGGTGGCGTGGCCCCCGTGAGCCCAGCTGCGTTTTCCCTGTACTTCTGTGTCCTGTCTCTTTATTTCTCGGATCCTGCGCCTCAGCACAGCATAAGGGACACCCATGACCCTGTGGGGCCCTCAGCCCTACACTTCCACTCTTTGTGTTTATTAAATGTAGCACTCACTCTCTAGTCCCTGAATATGTCATGTACTTTCCTAGCTTTATCTCTATCTTGTGTACTTTGCTCAAAATGGAAGTTTTTTAAATATTTTTTTATACTTAAGAATTTAAAAAATATGTTGCACAATTTATGCTTAATAAAAATATTAGTCTCAGATTAATCCTTTGTGAACTAGTTAGGTAGGAGTCGTCAATCAGTTTTTAATACTTGTTTATAATATCTGTCCTACCTGAAAAACTCATCCTACCAATATATGCACATGTAAGAGGTATATTGCTGGCTTTATTATCTATTTTTTTTACTATTAAAAAAAGTAATGCCACCAATTAGGCAGCAGTTTTGTTAAAATTCAGATAATGACTTCCCCTATTCCCTAAAATCAGTCAGTTGATCTTATAAATAAAATGGAAGATGATGTATTTTTATTACATTTATCTGTGCAAAGTCCTGGCCACGATGGAATAATAAGGAGTGAATTTATACTCCTGAGTTAAACAACTAGAAAATTGGACAAAATATATGAAACAGTGGCTTTCACATATTAAACATCAGGCAGCATAAGTCACTGTGACACTGGAGAGAGACCTGTAATTATCACATCTCACTGCCTAGAAGCAGTTTTCAGGCAGCAGAAAAGAGGAAGCCAAACAGACCTCAATGTTCTTCAGAGTTGAGGACATAGAGATAGGTATTTAGGAAGGGCTGGGCAACTACCAGAGTGGCGGGAACTGCACAGAGAGTGCTCAGATCTGTAGACAGCTTACTGTGAGGCTTTGCCTGAATACTGATCTACACATGCATGAAAAGAAACTTCTGTAATGGAGAAATAACCACTGGAAAGCAATCGGTAAAGCCATCTTTGTAACTCACAAATAGTTCCTTTTTCCATGAAGCAGAGTAAGAAGATCTCATAATATTTAGCACATTGGATAGAGTCCATAAAAGGATGTGTCACCTTAGACTAAAGTCTTCTCTGCCTCTATCTTGACAATAGGGCTAACAAATTACAGAACAAAATTGAGTACAACCTAAAAGAATATAATAAAATTTTGTATTCAAGAGTGTAAAATTCACGACGTCCATTATCTAATTAAACATTGCCAGGCATGGAAAGACCAAGAAAATAGCAATCCATAACCAGGAAAGAAAAGCCAGTCAGCAGAAAAGAGCAAGAATGACAGAGATGGTGGAGATAGAAGGCAAGTACATTAAAATAGCTATCATAAACATATCCCATGTGTTTAAGAAGGTAGAAGAAAATGTGAACATTATAGTGGGAAAATTGGAAAATATAAGAAAGACCCGAATTGAAGAATACAGTATCTGAAATGAGAAACACTGAAAGTTCAGTAGATTGAAAACTGCAGAAGAAAATGTTAGTGAACTTGAAGACATAGTAATACAACTATTAAAAATATATGGAAAAAAGGGAACAGAATATTGGTTACCTGAGTGACAGTATCAAGTGGTTTTACTTACCT